AGTAAATGAGAAATGTTAGATCTGTGTCAGGTCAGAATCACACTGAAACTATCAGTTTTTTCTTAGTTACATTTGAATGCAACCAACCGATTGCCAAAATTGTACGCTACCTAATATCGAAACTGACTAGGAATCCGAACAAACAACTTGAAATTCATAAAATAAACAGACGTATTATAATGTTTTTAAAATTACTTGATAGAAAATCAAAAATACATCTTACGAAAAACAATTTTTTTTAATTTTACAAAAATTAGGCCGTTATAAACTTACAGCCTAGAAGTATGGGATTTAGTAAAAAATCCAACTAGCCTCACTAGTCCGAATCCTCTTCTATGTCTCTAATTAATCCAACACATTGTTCTTAACATTTATTTCATTCACGACCTCAACCAACTAAAAACCTATTTTCGTTAATTCCATATTTTTTGTCGCCCAATCCATATTCCCTTGTTCGACAGCTCCCCTAATTTTCTAATAATATTCCTCTATACTCTATTAGAGTCGACAGTGTTTCAGAGATCTGCTGCTATGATGTGCTACTTAAACTTTAAAAAAGATATAGTAATTAGAATGTTACGTTTCTGTCAAATATACACTACCTTGGAAAAAACACAACGAAACATTTAAATTTTCGTCACAATTGAACGATCGAATATCTTCAAATCTACCTCATATTTTTTTCCGAAAGCCTGCTCTTTTATATCTATTTCCTTTTATTGAATACTCTATCATATTAGAAATTGTTTTGAATAGTTTTGAATAGCTGAAAGTTATAAATGATATGAACAATCTTAAGGATTTAATTGTCGTTACGTGCCTTGAAGACGTTAAAACGATTCATTCACAATGCTGTGATACATCAATGTCAACGTAACAAATGAAGTTATCTGCATATTTGACTTGAAAGGAAAGCCGAAACGTATTTTTTGCCCTTGTATTCATCCTAAAGATTTATTTAAATGAATAAAATTTTAATAAGCGCGTCTGATAAAGAACAATAAAACTGTTTATAATAATAATTTTAGCGACGTACTTTATCGACCAGCTACTTCAATGCTCTACTCAATTTGTGGTCACCACAAACCCGATAACTGAAAGCATAATAATTTTATATCTACTATACATGATCTACTTACATTAGGAAATGTTGTCAGGGTGAGTTTAACTTCTAAATCCGAATTTTTTGTCAAGTTTCTCACGTATCAAAAAGTTTTGAAATAATTATTTGGGGTAGCAAGATATGAATGGAAGCTTGATTAGTCAAACAACAAGACCCACGTCAACGTTCGGTTTTAAAAGGTACATTTGTACATTTGGAGCAACGTTCTCAAATTATTTTCAGTTAATTACAGTTTCGGTTGAGACAAAAAAATCAGTTTCACAAGCGGGATTCGAACCCATGACCTTCGGATAAATACGCCGCTGCTCTACCACTTGAGCTATCGTGACTTCGATCAACTCGGACACTAATTTCCCATCTCAACCCAACCTTTCGAATTTTCCCTCCTTTTTGTCATTTTGAAGATATAGTGAAATTTATTTGATTCTCGGCGACAAATGAAGTGGCCATGACAAATGAAGTGGAGCTTTAGTGAAGTATACTTCAGATTGTTTATTACATTTTATTAGGTTTCGTGGTCCTCTTGACCAAATAAATTCTTTTCAATTAATTAAATTTTTGGTTGAGACGAAAAAGTCAGTGTCACAAACAGGATTCGAACCACGATCTTCGGCTAAATGTGCGAATTCGAAGTCACGATAGCTCAAGAGGTAGAGTAGCGGCGTATCTAGCCGAAGGTCGTGGGTTCGAATCCCGCTTGTGACACTGACTTGTTTGTCTCAACCAAAACCTTAATTAATTGAAAAGAATTTATTTGGTCAAGTGGACCACGAAACCTAATAAAAAGTAAAACTTCTCGAATTATTTGAGTTGAACTGTTTTTAATGAACAAATCGGATGTGAATGTTGTTTTGTTGGCGCTTGAGGCTTTTGAATATTCCCAAAAAGTGATTAAAATGTTTTATTCCATAGTTAACACTTACCTTAGAAACCAACGCACTAAATTTCAGACTTATTTTGTTTGACTTACTGTACATATCGTATGAATATCTCGTGCAGTACAAAGGAAAATTGACGATGATTCTGTAGTTGGGGAAAAGTGTACCGAATTTTCAAATTTTCCCAATTCAGCATTGCGCTTTAATTCCCTACATCAAGGGCGTCCTGTTAGTAAAAGTTATTTTAACAAATTATTGCGAAATTTAGTATCCATTAAATATTAAATAAATAAATTGGTTGAAACAGTTGGAGAAGTTTGAAAGAGTTGGAAATAGTTTTTTCCAGGTCTAGAGAACGGGTGTTCCAAATGAAACATCGCTAAATTCAGCGTCATAAACCCTTTCACAAAGTATTAGTACTGATTAGTATCCTGCCATTTGAAGTAGAAATCCGGGACGGTTAGATCAAAACGTTTTGGTATATTAAATTCACTAGTTTCGTGGTCCGCTTGACCAATTAATATCTTACAATTAATTAAGGTTTTCAGTTGAGATAAAAAAATCAATGGCACGAGCGGTATTCGAACCCACGATCTTCGGCTTGATACGCCGCTGCTCTACCACTTGAGCTATCGTGACCTCGATTCACTCGGACACCAACCTCCCATCTCAACCACGTTTTGGTATATGAGAAACTAGAAAAAGATAAAAGCTTACGTGTTTCGAGTTTAAAAAAATATAGGAGGGCAGAAGGTAAACTCACCCTGTATGTATATTAGCATCGTGTGAAAATTGGTTTTGTGGTTTAGTCAGATTTGTACTATCAGGGAACAAATATCTTCCACTCTCAACGTTTTCCGGGTTATTTTGACAAGAGGACGGCATTTTTAAAAACGATATATAAATAAAAACAGTCTCATTAATAATAATAATAATAATATTAACACGTAGGGGGCGTCGGTGGCCGCAAGGTTTAGTCTTTGATACGGCGCTCATCACTGTAAGGTAAAGGTCCCGGGTTCGAATCCAGCGGCCCTGCATTCGANAAAAAAAAAAAAAAAAAAAAAAAAAAAAAAAAAAAAAAAAAAAAAAAAAAAAAAAAAAAAAAAAATATTAACACGTAGACTACCGAGCTTTAACTTCAAGTAAATACAAGTATAAGCTTTGTAACCACCTGTTTGCTTTAAGACGTTAATATGAATAAAATATCGGCGAGAGAAAGAGACCAAAGTTGCGTTTATTGGGCCACTTCTATTTCCACTGCAGACTTCATTAGCCTCTTGTCATTTTCAATCTGACGAGGCAATGATTTTCAGGTTTTATTAAATATCAAAAAATAGAGGTCACATCTGTGCCATCTCTTGTGAACAGTGAACAATCGGTTTTTATCTCTCACATTGTTCAACTGAACTAAATCATGGGGCAAAGACGAAATATATACAGAAATGCGTATATATTTTGGTGCAAATAATATAAATATGTTTTTTAATATGTATCAACTAAAAGTAAACTAACAATTTTCCCTGCAGATTAACATATCCCAGACACCCTCGAAAATACTTTCTGATAAATTAAACATTTCTTCGTATTGCTTCTATACTGGTTTAAGATAGAAATAACAAGAACGACGGAAGAAGATGCTCATGGAGAATGATCTAAGTGTAACAAAAAATTTTTAGGAGATTGAAATGTACTTCCGTGCAAATTAAATAATTGAAAGTAAAACTGAAATACAGCATAAAGTTTCCACCTAGTAACGGTAAGTAATTGCAAACTGCCATAAATCTTCTAACGCAACACGCTTTCAGCCCTGTCAAGTTCTTCGTTTCATATTGATTATTATCTCGTATGTTTACGACGGTTCTTGATTAAATAAAATTGTTAGGGTGATGGGTAAATAAAAAAGATGGACATTTAATTTACTACAGTGTCTATGGTTGTTTCTTATGGATAATTAAATATTCTAAGTTTGCAAAACGCAACTTAATTATAAATTAAAGATGTTTAAGTATTCATTGTCTTTCAAAACGCTCAAAACTTACAGAACGATCCTAATGAGCTATGAGGAATAATATATGCCTGCGATTGCAGTGAAAAGTGGATTAAGTGAAAACAGTAGAAAATCGTGTAAAAAGCATGAAAAAATAACAAAACGACTTCAAGAGCTATGCTGATGTTGGAAAAATCTGAAATAACATATAAGGAAGTTTTAACCCTCATTCGATTTTTGAAAAAAATTAAATCTATAATTAAACGCGATTTAAATAAAAGTTGCTATTGTAGACTTAACCCCCGTTTCAGTGCCATTCCGTAATATTTTGTTGGTATGTTCCTTGTAGTCATAAACAAACGATATATTTTTATTGCCATAATCAAACGACAATCATATTGAGTTTTATAGCTGTTGATTTTAAATTGTTTGTAAATATTCTTACACCCCCCCCCCGTGTAGCCCGAGTAATTTTACCACACTGAGGAAGTATGAATGTAATTTTTTAGCGTGAAAGGGCGGGTTTCTTTCTCAATAACTACACCAAGGAATATCTATACCCCGGGGCAGTGTGAATGAAATTTTGTGCATATGTGTGTGTGTGTGTGTGTGTGTTTCTGTCTGTCTGTCTGTCTGTGTGTTTGTGTGTCTGTGTGTGTGTGTGTCTGTCTGTGCGTGCGTGCGTGCGTTGGGGTGTGTGTGTGTGTGTTTGTGTGTGTGTGANTGTGTGTGTGTGTGTGTGTGTGTGTGTGTGTGTGTGTGTGTGTGTGTGTGTGTGTGTGAATCTAATTTATTAACGAGAATGTACTTTTTCCGCAATTACCACGAGGAATATCGAATCCTCAGAAGCTGTATGAATGTAATATAATAGCTTGAAGAAAGGAACTTCTTCTCCAATTACTGTGTACACCGAACCGATCTTGTCTAACATGCATTAAGTTTAAACGTAGAATTTAATCTGTATGCTATATCAAATCTGAGTTGTTTTGACGGATTTTTTACATTTCAGATATGCTTGAAGGTGATCCTATATTGAAGCTAGAAAAGTCAAGATATTCCGTCGGCGATGTTCTTAGGGGCAACTGCACGACACCACCATCAAATCCACCAGCAAACGTCACGTGGTTTATCAACGGCAATCGAGTAAGGACAAAGAATATGTATTTATGTATAATGTTGTGTATTTATCTCTGCATATATCATATTTAAAAACGCATGCAATGTTCACTGTCACAAAAAATTGTTCTTCCTAATTTATAAGGCTAGAAAGAATTATTAACGGTCATTGCAAGCACTGTATCCTTGTTCAGCGAGCTTGAAAGGGGTTAATTTTGAAAACAGTTGCCTAAAGAAAGTTCAACAGCTATTAACAATGCTATTAAGGAAAGTCGGCAAATTTCATACAGCTTAATGATTCTATCACCACTCTATTCGCTACCATTTATGTAATACTCGCGGCATAAAATTGTACATACATACGAAGATAATGAATGTAAAGCAATTTGAGAAAAAGAATTTATGACCATGGACAATCTTGTTCTGAGGTCAATACCTGAGTGGCTTCTTTAAGAAGACAATGCCGTCGTACGTGTGTGCTCGTGTGTACGTTTGTCTTAACGTGCACTACAATGATGTGAAAAATATGACTTAGTCTTTATTCTCGTAAAACATTGCATAGTAATCAATTGTTTTGTACTCTATGCTCACATTTTTGGCTCGCTGAGACTTGTTTAATATAGTATGTAAATATATTAACTCGCTAGGAGAGGTAAAGAGATGGAATGAGGGCGGAGCAATGTGGGAAAGGAAAATGAGAACTCACTGAGTTTGATCGAAAAGCAACGAAGAATACTAACCGGTCTCTAACGAGCTCGGCCATTTTTTGCTTCCTCTTTTGCAGAAAAGATGCAGAAAATGTCGAGGGGCAGATGTAAAATTGAAAACGAGACGTATATAGGAAATGAACAACTTTCATTCCTCAGAAAAACCTGGTTTTGATATAAATATTTTCTTATTATCTGAAACGTAAACAAAATAATGTATATTCATCCAAAGTAAAATAGGTTTTACAAAACTACACAATTCATATAAATTTTTTTTATATTTAATATTAAACGAAGTTTTTAATCTTAAATATAAAAATACTCTAAGCTTGCATTGATCAAGTCACTTTACTGCATAGAATAAAAGAACGAGCAAGACACTTGGTAAAATTAGAGTATAATAAATAGATCACTTTTTCACACTTTGCCACCCAAAAATATAGGATAGTTAAAAAAAGGTCGAGGGGGTTCTGGGAAAAAGTGTTACAAGTTCGGTCTTGGGTCATTGGGTTAGGAGATACGTGGGAGTCAATAAGGGTTTCCAGGAGGGTTCCCCAGCAGGAAAAGTGTTGTCGAGTGTTGGTGATGTTGAGAGAGTGGGGGAGGGTTTGTTAAAAGGTTGGCCCACTGTTTACGACCCAGGGGGTTGAAGAACTGCCCGGGCCTTATGGACTGGAAGTTGCACGGATTTGGGAAGTTTACAGGCCTCAAAGATCCATAGCCCTTCTTCTATCCCGGTTCGCCACCCTAAACGAGACTCTTGAACGGATCGAATCGATTCTAATCAAACAAAAACCCACCTGCTCCATTTATTTTCAATATTGAACAGTCGTAAAGGGAAGATTGGAGGTATCGGCAAAAGATACAACCACCTCCGCTACGTACTGATCCAGTTTAACGTTAAATTCCTCTTATTATAGGTTTTTCATCGATTGGTTTTTCACTGTGAAGATTAAAGAAACAACAGAACAAGTAAAGAACGTTAAGTTGTTAAAATAAAAATGTTTGTACCGAACAAAAATCGTTTCACCCCTGGTAATTTGGAAAAAGTGTCAGATAAGAACACGTAATGTTCCAGAAAACGGTCGCCATGGGATGTGCAAAGATTGGCAGCAAGTGTGCTAAACAACTTAGCCAGTTTATCGCTATTGTCCCAAGTCGCCACTTCCCTCGAATTTAATACATGCAATTCTAAACTTAAAGCTGCTCGTACGACAAATAGTGCCCTATTAGACTTTCCAACTGTTATATAAAACCAATTTTCATAAATTTTCTTCTCTAGAACCGGCATGTTACCACATTTGTACAATCGCTATATATGTCATAAATAAGGATATCGTATCTCGTTAAAAAGTATAATGGTAAACTTACTGAACACTTGTCGAAACGAAAGATATAACAATATTGAAACTGTTATTATTACAATTATATTTTCTGCTATCAATTCCATGTGTTTAAAACTCAAAAAAGTAAGTCCTTAGTTTTAAACAAGCTTTTAATAATATGTATAAAATATTAAAAAATAGTTAGACTTTTCGTCCGGGACACATAAGGTAATTTTACTTTAAGCTCTCCTGTATAACAGGAAATACTTTACTACTTTAAACAAAATTGACAATGAGTGAAGATCAATAAACTTACACATAACATAGGTGTGAAAATTTTGAAGATATGGTTGAACTATATGATTTTTTAGTTGTTGTGACTTAGTTGCCTTTTCTTGCTGTATTGATGTTATTAGACGTCACTAATCAGTAATTATTAGTAAAGGATAAAATACTATAAATCATAACCTTATGATTCTTCCTTCTTGAAGGTGGGATAATAGGTCATCTCAAAAAACCACAACCAGTTTTTATCCACACGTTTCGGATTTATTTTAATCCTTCTTCAGGTGAGTTAACGCCTGTATACAGAACAATTTTTTTTTTTTTACATTTTTATATCAACATGGTTATCATTGTTTCTTCACTACTTACAATGGTTAAAAAAGTGATCGTCAGTCATTAATATTTTATAACAATTTATTTTAAAAAAGAGCCAGTGTGGTACTTATTCAGACTAGAAACAAACGTTTTAATATTTTAAACCTGATTAGACTCTTATCACAACCTCTTATGTGACGTTCGACCTCTTATCAACATCTTATCACAGACCAACGAATCAACATTAAAAATACCACTGAACAGTTAAAATTGCATTTTTCTTATAAATCTATTTTTAAACAACAAATTTTATTTATTTTATTAACAATATTTTAACAATTATTATCACAACTATCACAGATTTTAAGTTTCCTCCAGAGTTTAAAATTGACTAGATTATTTTTATATATTGTTTAACAAATTAAAATAGCAATCACTTATCATATCACAGTCTTGACGGTAATTAACAGACAGTTTATCTTTTTTTATGTAAAGGGCCTCTAGGAACTTTCGTTTTTTACTATTTCGTACCTTTGTAACAATATTAACATCATCAAATAAAAATGTATGACTTTCAACAACTGCATGTTGTGCCAAGGCAGTTTCATTGTTTTTACTAGTTTGGACTGTGTATTTATGTTGATAAATTCTATTCTTTAGGTATTGTTTGGTTTCACCATAGTATACTTTCTTGCAGTCTTTGCATTCAATTTTGTATACTAGGCCTGATTGTAGTCCTTTCTCAATTTTGTCTTTTAGCGGTGAGTAGTATTTTTTGACCGCATTACTGTTTCGGAAGGCCAACTTAACTAGAGGGAACTTCCTTTTCAGACAACTTCTCAGCTGTTCCGATAACCCTTGGATTCAAGGGAAAATGACAGGAAATTCCAGAATCATTTTCATCTTCTAGGTTTTCCGAATTTTCGTTTGGGTTTATCTTCCATAGATTGTTATTGTTCATAAATTTATTTACCATTTTTCTCGGATACCCATTCTTTTTTAATAGTGGTTTTTTGAGATGACCTATTATGCCACCTTCAAGAAGGAAGAATCGTAAGATTAACTGTTGAGGTCGAAATATAAGAAAACATAAATCATAACCGAAAAAAAATTTTAAACCAACAATACGTTATCTTCAAAATTCTGCAGCGTTTACGTCTGGATGTTGATTTTAACCTGTAGTAATCAATTTTTCGTGTTATAGCAAATACTTCCATCAATACGATTTAAATCTTCTCCATCCTTAAAACTGATTTTCCCATAATACAAGTTTTTGTAGGGTTTGATGTACCATACTCCAATCAATCTCACTCATACCATGCAAAACCTTTTTAAACGAAAGACTTCCTGTTCGATTCCCCCATCTGTTGGGGGTATCGTCACAGTCTAGTGTATTTTTAAAATTTTCCAATAATTTTTAAATTTTATTGGTTTGTGCCTAGGAAACCGCTATCTGCTGATCTGAAAAACATAATAGATGATTAATTATTTAGAAACTTTAAAGCAGATTTTAAAAAAGAATTCAAATTGATGACAAATGCGTAGGTAAAACTAAATAGAAGATTGTGGCCTGAGGTTATTGATGAATTCTGGTGTTCTGATAAACCCAGAAACGACCAAACTCCAAACAAATTTTATGCATGTGTAGGAACGAATTTTTATAATTCACTAAGCTAATTTCGTCGCCTTAACGATGTACTTAAAGAACAATACAAATGTAATTAATTTTTAATGTAAATTAAATTAATACTATTTAATTAATCATAAATTAATTTACAACTTACAATTGTTTATTTACATTTACATTGTTACATGTCAATAATAGGTTAGGTATTTAACCTAATTAAATTAGGAGATGCACAGCTTATGTCTCTTTCTGAAGTGCATAATCTCTCTGCCTATTACTGCTAATTGTTTATTGATAAACACATATTAACGAAAACTTTCGAATAAACTAACACTTTTTATTTCCCACTAACAAGAAAACTACACTTTGATCGCGAGAAAACGGGTTTTACTGGCTAAATTCATTTTACCTAACATATGACATAACCAATTATATTGCTAAGGCCGGGACGTACCAACCTCCGGTCTTAACCACCGCCCTCTGACGTAAAGAATGCTATAAAAAAACATGATTTAAAGAAGGTGGCAGCCAATCAATGGGCCGGATTGAGAGAGAAAGAGGCAAGAGTATTGTCGATAGGCGGCCCTCGGAAGATCTGATTCGTAGATTAGGGTCATCCTCACCCGATTAAGAATAGGCCATGTAAGGTTGACTATGGACACGTACTTTCGGGCCAAATCATAGCGTATGTGAAAAGTTGATCGATGTGTCCCACTTAATTGAAGGGTGCAATTCTTTGGCTCCATAGAGAGAGCGCGCAGGAAATCC